CCCCCCCCCCCCGTCTCGTTCCCAGGGAAGGAACCTCCACAGAAGTCCCAAGGAAAGAGGTTTCAGGAATCCCAAGTCAGAGAAAAGGAGGCCTGTGGCAAAATGCTCTGGGTTGCACCCTATCCATCCTTGAGGGCTCCTGGCGGCAGGAGCCACCACTGCGGGAGGGCAGGGAGACCGCAACGATCCTGCGTCCTGGGTACACCGGCTTGCAGGGTTCCATTTCTGAACAGGTTAAGTTTCTAGTCCTTATGGTTGCAGTGGTATACGGCTAGCCCTCGAGTTACCACAGTTCATTTATAGTGACTGTTCAAAGTGTACAATGGCACTTAAGAAAAAAACCGACTCCAGACCACCTTTCACACTTACGACCGTTGCAGCATCCCCAGGGTCACGTGACCAAAATTCAGACGCTCGGCAACTGGCTTGTACTTACGGCAGTTGCAATGTCCCGGGTCACGTGATCCCCTTTTGCCACCTTCTGACGAGCAAATTCAAAGGGGAAGCCGGATTCAGTTAGCAACCGCGTCACTAACTTAACGACAGCAGGGACTCAACGACTAGGGCAAGAAAAGTCGTAGAATGGGGCAAAGCTCACTTAACAGGTGTCTCGCTTAGTAACGTTAGTTTTGGGCTCCTGAAAAAAAGCACCTTTGGGACAACCGTGACCGAGAATCTCCATAGACATGTAGAAGATGAAGCAACCTCGTAGCTATGGGGAGAATCCCCTGGGGAACTCTCTGCCACCGCTAGCTCTGGGGCTCTTCCAGGGCCCAGCAAAGCCGAACGGAGCAGGCACGGGGATACCTACTCGGCTGCGGAGAAGGCCTTCTCGAAGTTATGCCGCCGGTCCTGGGGCGAGAGCTGCGTGTAATCAAAGGCCTCGGGGAAAAAGTTGTGGACCAGCGCGCAGAAGGCCATCCCGTCGCTCCAGCTGGAGGAGAAGTTCTGGATGTCCACGTGCTACGGAGGGTGGAGAGAAATGAGGATGGTCAGGAAAGAGACGGGCCAGGCGTGGCGGAGCCAGGGAGGCGCGGGAGACGGGCAGGTGCTCACCTCGTAGCCCCGGGTCTTGGCGCGGCACCAATCCAAAAGCATCTGCTTGATGGTGTTGGCATTGGGGACCCCAAAGCTGGAAGAGCGTTGGACTCCCACCCGGGCCAAGGCCGGGCTGGCGGGGCTGCAGAGAAAGGAAAACACACGTCTCGTGGCTGCTCTGGGAAGGAAGGAAGGAAGGAAGGAAGGAGAGAAGAGAGAAGGAAGGAAGGAAGGAAGGAAGGAAGGAAGGAAGGAAGGAAGGAAGGAAGGAAGGAAGGAAGGAAGGAAGGAAGGAAGGAAGGAAGGAAAGGGAAGGGAAAGGAAAGGAAAGGAAAAAGCCAGGAGGCCGAGCAAGCTGCTATATTTAGAACAAAAACAACCACCAGCTGGATTAAAATGGCCACAGCCTGGGCAGGAGGAGGCCTCCCTCGGGCAGCTTCTCGCGGTGGGAACCCGGCCACGGAATGGCCCTTAGAAATAAAGAGTTTTGCAGCCCGGAGGAAGTGGGTCCTCCAGGAAGCCTCCAAGATGTCAGCTGAAGGAGCCAAGCCAAGTTCTCCAGCCACTTGTGGGGATGGGAGCAGAAGTCCTTGGGGAAGGAAAACATTCCAATCTCCAGCCTTAAAAAACTTGGACATTTCACCTCCCCCCCAAACTCCCCCTGGAGTCCAGCCCCTCACCTCCCGCCCTCCTTCTCCAGCTTCTCGATCATGGCCTTGCGCGCCTGCGAGGCTGACATCTTGGGCATGGCCTGGGCCTTCATGATCTCCTTCTTCCTCTCCGCTTGGCGCCGCTCCAAGTCAGCTAGACTGCTCCCGGACCTGGGGCTCGGATCCTCCCGCTCGAAGATGCTGTGCCGAGGGGGGGGGAGGGAAGAAAGAGGAGGGAAGATGAAAAACTCCAGGGCAAAATTGCTATTAATTCAATTAAATAAGAATCCATTTTCTCTGCTCCCCCCCTTTCCCCCCCCCCAAGGGATCTGTGCAAGGTTTGGAAGGCAAATCATCCCAGGTTTTTTTGGGGGGGGGTGGGGGAATATAAGAAAAAGAGAAAAGCATCTCGGAAGCAGAATTTGGAGAATTCAAGATCTGTCTTTTGGTGATGGGGGCCGAGAGCTGCTTGCATACGCTCGGCTGTGTGAACTGTAGAGCTGGAGGGTGGATGATGGTTAAGGATGCCCTTTTTGCCTTTGTGTTTTGTTTTGATTCAAATTTATTTTTAGCCCGGTTTCTTCTTTG